GTGGTCTGGTGGTGCTTTGATGTGACCTGAAACTGTCCACCAGAGGCTCTGGCTCTGGGGCCTCCCGGGTGGGGCAGGTCAAGGTCAGCCACCACCTGTGCCCTGCATGGACCCACCCAGCAGGAGCTACAAAGTGATCTGCAGATGGCTGCTACTTGGGCTGGTCTTGGGGGTGCCCAGAAGAGGCCAACCTACAAACCAGCTGCCACCAGTGCCATGCCTGGGGCCGCTTAGCAAGAGGTACAAGGCACGCCTAGGCCAGATTCTGCTTGTTTGAGAGATTTTAGTAGAGTTCAAACCATGAGCCAAGACAGGCCATTTGTATGGAAAATCCACCGGAAAGTGCTTGGGCGGGCCCACAGTTGGGTGGGGTGGGATTTCAAGGACTCTCGGGGCGGGGCTAACAGTGTGAGCCAGGCTGATGGAGGCTCAAAGATGGCGCTCACCTGCAGGCTCGGTGGGGGAAAGGCTCAGAAAAGGACCAATGGCCTCTGCCAGCACTTCTGTCTCCGAGGAAGCTGCCCCTCCAGCTCTCACCCTGACAACAGACAATTCAGTTTTCCCTCGAATGTTTCTGGTTTCTTCCAAGCTGCTGCCCCAGTGCTGGAGCTCAGAGCCAGCAAGTCTGGGTAAGTCTGTGTGGGTCCTTTAAGAGGAGCTGCCTGGGACTCTAGAAGCCTCAGCCTCCAGCTACAATCCCTGCTGGTTTTCACAGCCAGAAGTTATGGGGATTTCTCTTCCTGGCACTGGAATCCCAGGCTGGGGGGCCTGGTGTGGGGCTGGGACCCCTCAATCCTCAGGGGGGCACCTCTGCATTGAAGATATCCCTCCTGATTTTTAATCACCACACATAGGTGTGGGACCTGCCCCTTCTGTATCTCCATCCCTCTAACCATCTCAGTGTGGCTTCTTCTGTAAATCCTTAGTGATAGTCTTCCATTCAGCTCAATTTCAGGTGGTTCTGAATAATGGTTGTTCTGTACTTTAGTTGTAATTTTGATTCATGTATCGCATTTACCTACACCACCATCTTGACCAGAAGTTAATGTGCAACTTTTGGAACTTGGGTTGAAGAGGGTCAAGAGTGGAAGTAGGAATACTAGTTAGGATTAGGAGGTAGCTGCTAACTAGTCAACCAGGTGGGGGTGATGCTAGCCTGGTTGAAGACAGTAGCAATGGAAATTGATCAAAATGGGTGGATTCAAGATATCTTTTGTAGATTTATTTCACATGCCTTGGTGGTTGGACATCAAGGCAAAGGAGAGAAAAGATTTGAGGTGACTCTAAATGCCTAGGCAACTAGATGGATGATGATACTCTTGCCCAGGATGAAGAAGAAAGGAATGGAGGACTGGGGAGCCAACTCGGGGGGGAAATCAACATGGACCTGCTGAGTCCCAGAGAAGCTGCTGAGCACTTAGTTATGCAAATCTGGAACTCAGAAGAGATCAGTGTCTGGATTAGTTGAATTGAAAATATGAAAGGTGTGGTTGTGTGTGTGTGTGGGGGGGGAGCGCTTCTAGGACAAATGTGGCTGAGACGGAATGGCATGGGCACCCATGAGGTCAAAGACTGTATGGCCCTCTTGTAGATGGCTGAGTCACCCACGGTGTTAACAAGAATTGGGGTGCAAAAGAAGAGACCAGCCAGGGCAGGAAGTCTTCAGTGAATGCAAGAGCATGTTCAAGAGGTGGGGGCTCACACACACAGGGAGAGGTGATACAGGTAAGTGGGATTAGCGTCAAAGGAGCTAGCTTTCAAATGACCTAATGGGTAAGAGTGCAGGCCCTAGAGCCAATTCCCAGAGTTGGAGTCTGTCCTTTGTCACATAACTGGCCATGTGACCCAAGACAAGTTATCAACTGTGGCCCCCAAACGAGATGATCACAACAGGATCTCCTGGAGCTGTGGTGAGGCTGAAACAGCGGCATGTGTAGTTAACAGAGTGCCCGGTCTTCGGGTACTTAGTAAATGTGAGCCTTTACAGCTACTAGCTCTCAGCTATTGGTCACATGAATAAGGAAGGAAAAGGAGTGATGATGTGGAAGCAGCAGAGTGAGTGGGGAGCCCTGCTTTCCCACCGAGAGGACTGCGCCATGAGCCAGCGAGCAGCCTCTGGCAGAGAGGGCCTGGACACGGGGTCCTTCCAGCAAGGGCAGGCTTCAGAAATCTTGGTTATTATGGAGTCTGAGCAGAGAATGGAACAGGGAAAGAATATAGAATATTGACCCAGGCAGCCCAGACCTCCATTTCTAACTTGGAACCATGAAAAAGCTGCCTCGCGTTTCCCTGCTCCCCTCCCCTCCACATGCTCGTTCCTGCTGTCCCTGGTTCAGTTCTGCCTGCCCTCCGCCACCCCACGCACTGGCCACCAGGGCAGCTGACCCCTATTTCTAGCTCTACCCTTCCTATCTCCCAATCTTGGTTGCCTCCTCCACTGCCTGTTCTTTGCTCCTTCTCTTCCCTTTTGTCTCTCTGCCCTTTCATTCACCCACCATCCTGTCTGAACTGCCCTTTCTCTCTTAATCCTTCCTTCGCCCTGACCTGGCTCCTTCCTCAGGCTTCTCTAGCCCTGTAACTATCAGGTCTAACACCTTCTCTTCAGACCTCAACTCCAAGGATACCCAGAGCTAATCTGGTGATTCCCACTAACTACCTGGGGCCTAGGTGCTCCTGCCAGATTCCTGGTCCAGCCCAGATCTCTGGCAGCATGAGCGGGTCCCAGTGGCTTATTGACATGGGGGCCAACAGATGGCCAGCCCCAGGCCACAAGGCACACCCCCAGGTAGGGTTTTTCTCCTGCTAATACATTCTCAGTTGTACTGGTCTCAGCCAGCTGCCTGGCTATCTGGACTATTCCTGCCTGGGCTGGTTGCTCATCCTCAACATTTGAGATGATCATTTGTAAGTGACCTCTGGGCCCTGCTGTACCTGTGAGCAAACCTTGGCTAGTAGAGAGTATGACGAGCTGTCGTCTATGGCCTGTTCTGTCTTCCAGGAAGGCAGGCCCTGTGGATCTGGTCACCATTGAAGCAATTGCTACATACAAGTTACATGAAAACATGTAAACAGAGTCCCACAGCTCCTCCTTCAGGGAGACCATGACTCATTTCCTCCCAGATGTCATCTTTGTCCCAAGATGTGCAGAACATTGGTGCACTCTAACCACTACTACAGTAGTACAACCTACACCTGGGATTCTGGTTGCTATAGAAATTTTACAGTGGATCTGATCAAAATTATGTCCAACTCTGATCTATCTATCTCCCAATTCACAATCAGAATTCAAGGGTAACAGTCTAAGAGGCAAAAAGTTACCTATACCCCATTCAACAAGGATATAGAGTCAAAGTTTATTAGAAAACTTCAACTTTGAGCTACAAAGTCTTCTGGGTGTTACCTAAAGGGAATGGGTGGAGGAAGAAAGGGAGAGAGTCCCCATAAAGGACCCCACCTCTCCCCACTTTCTCAAGTACAAAGTGTATCAGCTCTGTTCCCGAACTGCGAGGCACATGAGAAGAGCCCAGAAAAATCCGGCCTTCTGGGAACACCTTCCTTTCCTTTTATCCATAATCCTCCTGATGGTATTTAGGTCCCAGATATCTCAGAGTTCCTAGTACAAAGACTCTGGGGGACATATCAAAGTAGATGTGCAGAGAAGGCCAGCAGACAAGCCAACTGTTACAGGCACAGAGCAGTGACTCATGGGTCATGCACATCCAGCCACGTCTGAAGAACCAGAGAACAGGGAAAGGCAGACGGCAGTTCAACACGAGGGGCGTTGAGATCCAGGGCTCCGTCCTCCCTGACAGCCTCACTGTGTCTCACTAATTTGTCCTCCTCTTCTCCATGCTTTTGGTGTAACCAGGAAGATGCCAGAGAATCCAAAACACGGTTTTGTGTGTGTTTTTTTGCATTTTAATTGGTATAATTTAATTACCAGGTATCATCCCAAGATAGGCTTTGACGAGCTTTAAGAGATGTACATAATGCCATAGGAAATAAGGGAAAGGAAGTGAAAACAAAGCCAAATAAACCGAGGCCAGGGACTGACGCACAAATTGCAGACCAAGAGAGCTGATCTGTTTTTAGAACTGGACCTTAAATTTCTGAGCCCTCATAGTCGAAATTTAACCCATTTTAATTCCATGGTCAGAAGCCTAAATCTAGCTTCCCTGACTTGTTTCTTTCCCCCAGGACACGCCAGAAGACTCAGGACTATACTGAGAATTAGGGCGTTAGCAGCAACAGAGGCAGCAGCCAAAAGATGACAGGAGTGGGCAGAAGGCAGGAGGGAAGAGTGGTCTACGGGGCATCTTCCTCTCCATTTGGTGCTTCTCAACTTCTGTCCTAGCCCCTAAATCTGATTGAACACATTCCCTTTCTCATGAGTTTGACTACCACACAGACACAGATAACTCTCTGGTTCTGTCCTCTCCCCTCGCTCAGGCCCAGGTATCCAAATGCATACTGCATACTGCTACACGGATCTCCTCTAGGCACCCCAAGTTCAAAATGTCACAAACCAAACTTACAATCTGGCCTCATGTCCCATATGCATCTCCTTCTTGTGCTCCCACTCTGAACGACACGCTGTACCCGTCGCCAAGGCCCTCCAGCTTGCCCCTGCTGTCAGAAACCTCTCAAATCCATCCCCTTCTCAAACCCGATCACTGCTCTAGTTCAGACCCTCCCTTTTAACTGGAATATTGCAATAATGTTCCAACAGATCGTCCTAACTACAGCATATCCAAGCTCCTTTCAGCTATTAGATTTTGACATCATCCTCTGACCTCGTCACCAGCAGCCTAGTGTCCAAGTTCCACTCAGACACGAGCTCCTCCATGACCCTGACCCACACTTCCCTTCTCCCATCTTATACTCCAATAGTGCAAAGAACTAAGCTCCCACCCTCAGCGTGAATCCGTGGTGTTTCACACCACTAAGCGTTCCCTGGAACCCCCATCCTTCCCCTCCTTTGGGACCCTTCCTAGCTCACACGGCTCCCTATTATTACTGCAGTTACTGACATCTGCTAGTTCCTGTCCAGGCCTCACACATGACCCCTGCCCCTTGGAGATCATGTGAAGCAAGAAAGGGAAGCTGGGACGGAGTTGACAGGCCGTGACCCCAGGTGAACTGGTTTTGGGGAAGCAGACAGGGTTAAGGAGTGATCTCCACAGAATGGGAGTGCGAGTCTCTCCACTGACTTCCTCTCACGTGAACAGAAAATTCTACTCTTGAAGGTTCCATCACATCTGCTGATAGGTATCTCCCAAGTTCATGAAATAACCAGGGTATGAAAGGCACCCCAGTGTCATAGGCAGACGTCAGGAGAGGGACTTTTAAAATCCTACGGAAACCAGAGTCCTTGGTCAGTATTTTTAAACCCTCCTAAGGAGAAACTCTGGACGTCTAAATGCTGAAAAGTAGAAAACTATTCTTTGAGTGAACCTTCAGCTTTAGCCTGTCTGTGTAGGAGGCTGGTCTTAATGGTCAACATTTAGCAAGCATGGGGTCGCCTTGGGACACGATGGCTCAGGTGGGACAGTATTCAAAGCCCTCTCAGTAGCATCTCGCACACACACCCACTCCTGACACCTCCCTTCAGCCTCAGCCTTGGCCTGGGGATCGGCAGCAAAGCTTCTGCCCTGCCAAGAGGGAAGGGCCAGGGAGGCAAGTAAACAGGGATGAATGAACACTGGTGAAGAAGCCCAGGTTCCTGCAAGGTTTAACTCGACTTACCCAAAAGTAACAAGAAGCAGGACTGACCCTCTGAAAAAAGGGAAATCTTTAAGCCCTCTTCCCCTAGCCAAAGCAGTATCTCATTGGAAGAAACATCACTTTGGCTACATGTGTTTCCCCAATCTCAACCCACCTGTATCTCCCACCCGTGTTATTGTACAGATGGAAATTCACATCTCGTGCTGTGGCAATCATTCATCCTTGCTCAACGCACATTGACTGTTCTCAATATCCCAAGACCTCTCACCTTGGGGAGAATTCAGAGAGGAATTTCAACAGGACGTGTGCTCTACAAAGTGCTTTGAGATCCTGGCCTGACTTACATGCCCTAATGTGAGTGGGGATTCGCTGTGGTGGTAACACCTCAGGCTCTGGACGGACAGGTCCGGTTGAATTCTGCCTCTGCCATTTTCAGGGGTGTGACCCAAGCAAGTGACTTCAGTTTCCTAAGCCTAGCTTTTCTTTTCTGGGAAATAGGGGAAATATTAGTACCTACTTCCTAGGGCTGTTGTGAGGATTAAATGAGATCATGTGTATAAAGTGCTTAGCACAGAGCCTAAGTAATATGTAACTGTTCCTACTTTTCGCTGAGCTCACAGTGGCCTGCTCTAAGCCAGACTCTCAAGTATGCCCCTCTCATCAGTCTCCACATTCTCCTCTGAGGATACACCCCACTAAAAACTGCATACAGGACATTCTGTGACGTGTACTGACGGGGTGTGGAAACACACAGATGATGTGAAGGCACAGCAAGGTTTGAAATCACTACTCAGGACCACTGATTTGCCTCTAGTCCCCTAAGCTATCAGTTTGGCTCAAACACTGACAAAGCCCTTAACCGACAGCAAACGGAAGGACAGCCTGAGGACTGAGTGGAGATTTTTAACAGGAGAAAAACAAAGCACACTGAAGAAAAATGCCTTCAAATCTGGATCCTGAACATTTGTAATTCCCTTCCACATTACCTGGATTACATTAAGGTAACTTCCCTGGGTATACACCAAGCTTAACAACAGGGAATGTTCCCTTCTCCCATACACCTTATAATCTTGGGAGGTTTAAATACACATGTATCTCTTTTGTTGTGGGAGGAGTTGTTTCCTATGATGTTTTCCCTCCTGCATGGGTTCTCCGGTGGGCACTGAAGTGGGAGCTATTGTTGAAGTCTTTGCCACACTCCAAGCACTTGTAGGGTTTTTCCCCAGTGTGGATTCTCTGGTGAATAATAAGACTAGAGCTCTGATTGAAGCATTTCCCACACTCTCTGCACTTATAAGGCTTCTCTCCTGTGTGAATCCTCTGGTGAGTAATGAGATTAGAACGGTCACGGAAGAATTTTCCACACTCGAGGCATTTGTAGGGCTTCTCTCCTGTGTGCACTCTCTGGTGTGTGATGAGCTTGGAGCGTTCACTGAAGCACTTCCCACAGTCCGGGCACTTATACGGCTTCTCCCCAGTGTGGGTTCGCTGGTGGTTAGCCAACGTGGAGCTCTTACTGAAGCTTTTCCCACATTCAGCACATTCATATGGTTTCTCTCCCGTATGAATTCTTTGGTGACTGATGAGGGCAGAGCTCTTGGAGAAGGTTCTTCCACATTCAGAACACTGATAAAGTTTCTCCCCTGAGTTGGTGCTGTGCAGCCCAGGAGAATTCAAGTTCTTACTCGCACTGTGAGGTTGTTCAGGAGATGTCTCCTCTGCCAAGTCCCTCCAGTGAGCACTAAAGGATGGACTTTGGCCAAAGTTTTCCCCAGACTCACTACAATGGTCAAGCTTTCCTCCCAAGTGGATTCTCTGATGTTTCAGAAGGTTTGAACTCTGGTTGAAGCTTTTCCAACATTCTCCACATTTATAGGGCTTTACCCCTGTGTGGATTCTCTGGTGGGTGACAAGATTGGAGTGGTCACTAAAGCTTTTCCCACATTCGAGACATTTGTAGGGCTTCTCTCCAGTGTGAATTCTCTGGTGGGTATTGAGGTTGGAGCGGTCACTGAAGCTTTTCCCACATTTGAGGCATTTGTAGGGCTTCTCACCTGTGTGTGTCCGCTGGTGAGCAATGAAGTGGGAGGTCCGACTGAAGCTTTTCACGCATGTATCACACTTGTAGGGTTTCTCTGCAAGGTACAGGCCTTGATGGTCAATAAGTTTTTCTAAGTCCTCTTCAGAAGAACATTCTTCCCACTGTTCCTGGGGTGGATTTCCTGACCGCTCTTCACCTTCATTTTCATTTTCACTGTCTTCCCCCCAGTCGTGAGAGTGGCAAACAACTTCTGTAGTACACTTTGATAATGCTCCAGGCAAATCCTCAAAAATATCCTGCTCTGAACTCTGGTCTTCATCCTCATGCCTCATCTCAAAACCTGAAAGAATGGACAGAAATGTAGTTTTATTCATTCGTTAGTTAATATCTATTTATATATCTGTATCTTGTGTCTTGTGAATTTAGCTAACATGAATTTATATCTTATATTTTATGTCACCTCTTACAAATGTGATTAATATAAAACTGGTCAAGTTTTGGTGCATACATGCATTTCTGACCTGCAAAGTTGAGGAACAGAGTCTGGGACCTGGTGACCCCACCAAGGCAGCCATGACCCCAACCAAATAGCCAGCCAGTCTCCCTGGCCAACTCCCTTATCCCACTACTTGATAATGAACACCTTCTAGTACAATCAGTGTCATATGAGACTGATTAAATTCTATATATAATTGCTCAAACAAATCCCAGTAAAATCTAGACCTGACTGCTTGTCTCATTTAGGGAATTATACTCTAAACTAGACATAATCTGAACAAAGCACAAATCTTTCTCCTATTCAATTCCATTCTCTGTTTTAGTCCAGAGACATGATAACAAGCCTGGCTCCCTCGCTCTGTCTGCATGCTTACAGATTTTGTGGACATCCAATTACTCCATGCTTACCAGTGTCTGGGGTTTTAGGACATGGGGTTGGAGGTTTGATGACATCTTCATCTGCCATCTCATCCCAGGCCTCCTGGTCATCAGCCTCTGCACTGCTCCGCCCAGACATAGGGAGACCCGCTGCCTCTCTGATGGTCCCCATAGCTCTAACCGCAGTCCGCGCCCTGACCAGCGAGTCCAGCTCCTCATAGAAGGGGCATGTCCCTGGTGGGTGCCTGCTCTTGGCTTTCCGGTAGCTTCGAAGGAGGTTTTTAAATCTGTAGCGACACTGCTCCAGTGTCCGCAGGAAGCCCTGTGCACACAGCCGCTCCGCAATGGCCCGGTACACCTGGCTGTTCTGGTGACAGGTGCGAAGCTTTTCAGAGAATGGGGACTCACTGAGAATTGTCAGGAAGGCCTTGGTCTCCTCGTAGCCCCAGTGCACACCTGCTGTCAGGAGTGAAGAGTTCAGAATTGTGAGATTTAATGAGACATGCCTAGGTCTTCAAGGATCAGGGTCCCCTGCCCTGCTAAATGCCTAGAACACAGGCACCTCAGAAATTGTCCAGGTACCTGGGGCACCAACAAGGAATATACCCCTGCCTCTCAGGGCTGTGCCAGAGCTTCCCACCCCACCCCTTCTAAGAGATTTTATTAGCACTTAAGAGTCTTGGCTAAAGGGGAGGACTTAGGTGGCTGTACTATATCAGGTGACCCCACTCCCCTGGCTTCAGCTGACTGGTTCAGGGAAAGGCTTGTAATTGAGACACAAGAGACTCTGTATCCATTCAATACATGTCCTGTACTTCCATGAATTTTCCTTTTAACAAATATGGGAACTGAGAACCCCCTTTCCTCTTTTGTGGAAGAGGAAAGGAAAGCGGTCTGTTCAGTTCCTCTGCAGGTACATGACGCCGCCAAGGAGGCAGCGTGGGGGACGAAACGCCACATAAAAGGAGCTGGAGCCCTGGGCTCTGACCCTTCCTCTGCCCCTGCGTCGCTTAGATCCTGAGATAAGACACTGCGTCTCTCAGGCTTCAGTGCTCCCGCGTTTGCAATCACTTGGGTGGTTCTCAAACACCGATTATTCCAACTGTACACTGTCCTGATTTCTGCTCTGTTTGTTAAATATTTCACTTAGTATCTTTCTTTACTTAAACTTACTATCTGTGAAATCACAGCTGATGTGTTCATACACATTAAGTTTACTCATGCAACACCTATGATTATTCCCATATACACTTTGAGAAATACTGAATTAGCTCTTTAAGGTCCCTTAGGATTTTAAAAGTGGCTGTTTCAATAGCTAAGAAAACTTGTGCACTGAGAACTGGTCATAGGAGAGGAGAGGATGAGTCTGAGGATGACCAAAGGAACTTAGTGCCTTACTCCAACAGCATCCACCTAGACTTCTGTGCCCTGAACTCAGGGAACACAGGTTTGGCTAGTAGGAGGGTTGGAATCTGGATCAGATTTAAAGCCTGTGTTCTTACCGATACGGCTATGGAACAGAGTTGGACCCCCTGGAATCCTGGGCCCCGGAACGGACTCGCCAGTGGCCAGGTCATCACCGTTACAGTCTTCTGCTGTTTCCTCCGGTTCCCAGCTCCCTTCCTCTTGCTCTTCCATCTCTGCATCACTATCCCCCAGCCTGGGGAGAGCCACAGCCTCTCCTGGGCCATCTGTAGCTCTGATGGCTGTCCGAGCCCTCACCAGGGCCTCCAGCTCCTCGTAGAAGGGACAGGTCCCCGGTGGGTGGCTGCTCTTGGCCTTCCGATAATTCCGCAGGAGGTTTTTGACCCTGTAGCGACACTGCTCCAGTGTCCGCAGGAAGCCCCGTGCCCTCAGCCGCTCTGCAATGGCCCGGTACACCTGGCGGTTCTGGTGACAAGTCCGGAGCTTCTCAGAGAAGGGAGACTCACTCAAAATTGCCAGGAAAGTCTTGGTTTCCTCATAGCCCCAGTGCACACCTGACACCTTCATGTCCTCCACGTCCCACTGGTATTGTTCTTCCCAGGCCTTTGAGTCCCTCCAGGTCAACGCTGGCGCTGGTTTTACTTGCTCATTATCCAGGCTATAATCTGCAGTGTTCCTTTTTCCAGAATTCATAAGATTCAGACCCCAAAATTCTGGTCCTTGCTCCCGCTGGGAGACGATATTTGGTTTTGAAACTAGAACTCCTACATAAAAAGGAGAGAAGTGATAGAAATGATTGTTGAGCAGACTGTCCAAAATGTCCCTGAAACATTTCCCTACAAGAGGCTCAAGAGAAACTCCCATGCTAATCCCATCAGATGTCTGGGCTTGGGGAGAGGTAACTAGAGGTAACAGGATCACTTCACCAGAAATGTTCACTGACCTATTTGCTTTGTTAATTTGCTTTTTGTTGTTGCATCATACAAAACACCACTGCCATTGGTCCACAGAAGAGTATACAATTTAAACTGGCCCAATCAGAATGAAGTCAATGGTTGGAGAATAGGTCTGTGTGTGTGTGTGTGTGTGTGGTGTGTCTCTCTTACGAGGAAACTTGTGGACGCTGTTGACATCGATCTCGACTCTGACACACAATAGCTTTACTATAAAGCTGAGCCCTGGCCGGTTTGGCTCAGCGGTTAGAGCGTCGGCCTGCGGTCCGGAGAGACCGGGGTTCGGTTTCCGCTAAGGGCACGTACCTTGGTTGCAGTTTGTCCCCAGCCCTGGTTGGGTCGTGTGGGTGGCAACCACTCGATGTGTCGCTTTCACGTCGATGTTTCTCTCTCTCTCTCCCCCTCTCCCTCTATCTGAACAAAATATCGAAAAATGTCCTCGGGTGAGGATAAAAAAAAATAATAATAATAATACTATAAAGCTGAGAGTGAGGACAGCAGAGCAGAGAGAAAGGAAGAACTTAGGACGCGGCTGGGCCGATCTGTGCTGTGGTTGCAGCATGCCCTCCTCTAGACTGCCAAGTGTGAGAAAATAAATTCCCTTATTTTGTATAACACTTAGCTACATTTAAAGGACTGCTGTCCCGCCCTGGCCAGTTTGGCTCAGAGGTTAGAGCGTTGGCCTGTGGACCGGAGAATCCCGGGTTCGGTTCCTGCTAAGGGCACGTACCTCGGTTGCAGTTTGTCCCCGGCCCTTGTTGGGGTCGTGTGGGTGGCAACCACTCAATGTGTCTCTCTCACGTCCATGTTTCTCTCTCTCTCTTCCCACCTCTCTCCCTCCTGCTCTATCTGAAGATAAATGCAAAAATGTCCTCGGGTGAGGATTAAAAAAAAAGGACTGCTGTCCCAACACCAATCCTAACAAAATAGAAAGCCTTTAATTATGTAAATATTTGGAGACAACTAGAAAAAAAGTTTAGAGCTCAAAGAGGCCTAAGGATAATTATCTCGTTCAGCATATCCTAAAGTTTGATCCTTTGAATGCTCTTTTCACCAGATGTCACATGTAAAGGGAATGGGGGGGTCACACTGTGAAATGAGTAGCCAACAAGCTCCATGTCCCCTTACTGACATGAATGAGTCGGACCTATCGCTGTCTCTTCTACTCTATCCCACTCGCGTGTCTAACTCCTGAGCTCCAGTGAGAACCAGGTCATTAGCGGGCTTCCTGTGCAGGTGTGCCCACAGAGAAAAGAGTCTGCTGGTCATACGGGCTTCAAGCATTTTGAGCCCTGTGAGATTTATTCTCGTTGTGGTTTAGGGCATCAGTCTCCCGGGCTTCGTTCACTCAGTCCGCCCCTAAGAGACAGATCCTGTCTGATGCTGAAAAGCCGGGATTTCTGCGACAGCAGGCAGGGCCCAGCTCCTGCACCACGGAGAACGTACTGAGGAAACGAAGGCAATGAGCCCTGAGACAGCAGGCTCTTCGAAGCCAACCTGCCAGCCTCCGCTGCCCACACGCCATTCCTGCCACCACCACAGGGGTGACTACAAAGAGCTTGTGTTCTTCCCGTGTCTGAAGCTGCACGGACTTCTGAGACTCGAGTCTCAGGGCGTGCTGAAACGCTCTTTGGGAGCTGAGTGAACAGAAACCCATCTTCTTCAGAGGCACCAGTTCCTTACCCAGGGGCACGCCGTTCCCACAGTTTTCTCCTGGGGGCGCTTTGTGGAACTCCTTCTCAGCATGTCTGCCGGGGCCCAGGGCTTCCTGTGACAAGTACAAAAGAAGACCTCAAATGTTACTGACCCTTGAACACAGCCTAGGAACCCTACGGGGCCCCAGGAAAAATAACGGGAACACAAGGAGACACTGTGTGTGAGCTGAGCATCGAGAGGAGCAGCATGGTCAAGGAGAGGCCAGCCGAGGGGGCGAGGGGCAGGGACTGACACCCTGCACCGGTGGCCCTTTGCGGAGAGGAGGCCAGAGAGAAAGAACTGGAGCAAAGAGGCAAAAGTATTGGAGCAGCAATGATGGGAAAGGGAGAACGAAGAGCAGCTTACCTGGGACTCAGCTGTCACCTCCCAATCTCCAACGCTCCCCATCTTTGGGAGAGTAGGGACTCGGGGAGTGAGGACAGCTGAGGAGAAGAAAAAGTCTCTGAAACCCAAGCTCTGGTATCCAGACAACCAGCCCCTCAGGTCCAGCTTTCCTAAAGCCAAGCCTGGGTCAGGCTGAGACTACCCCGCAGCCAGTGCTCATCTCCCCTCTGCCTGCCCTTCTGGAGTTCCAGCTCTGAAGCTGCCCTGAGTGAGGTGCCCTGTGTAGATGCCAGCCCAGAGCCCCTGTGACCACCTCGGCCTGCCCCAGCCTGGACCTGCTGCGCGACTCGGCTCTCGAGAGGACGCGCTGACGTCACTGGGCACGCCATCTCCCTCTGCAATGCTCGCTTACCTGCCTTACTTCTCACTTGTCCATCAGACACCGTTCTCCCCGTGCCTTGGACTCAGTACATCCCTCCTCCCCATGGACCCTTCCTTTCCACCCCGCTCACCCCTCCTCCTTGATGTTCCCTGATTCTTGGTACTCACCACTCTCTTTCAGGGCCTGGGGTGGCGTCTTGGTGTCCAGATGCTTGGGAAGGTCAGGGCACGGGTCTCTCACCCACTGCGTCTGGGGCTGCGGCTTGGGCCAGCGGTCCACTGGCGGCCGCTGAAAGCTCCGGGACTCCCGCGGTGCCTCTGCGGACCTCGTCTCCTTTCCACACGACCCCAGTCCCTGCACACACAGTCCAAGTTCCCCATCGTCAGCTCAGTGACACCACTTCTGGTAGGGAGGGAAATGTTCTTTTGAGCACAGCTAGGATCCAGAGCTTAATAAGCCCTTTGTAAGACCCAAAGATGGCTCAAAGTATGTTTCCCTCTCACATCAATGTTTGTCTCTCCCTCGCCCTTCCTCTCTCTCTAAAAAATAAATGAATAAATAATCTTTTTTCAAAAATGAAGATATATAGGAATGGGCCATGAGAATCAAAAGCCATTCCAAATGAGGAGATCGACCAATGTCCTCTGTTTCACAGGTAGAAAACATCTGCTTATCAACACTCTGCTTATCAACTCACTGTTATACTTAATAATCTTACAACCTACAGAGGAATTGTGTGACAAGACTCCATTATAATCCTCACTCTCAGCCCTAGCTTCTTCAACTACTGCCATGCTGAGCAAAGATCTTGATTCCATGGGTTGGAACAGTGGACACAGAAAGAAGCAGATGCAACTGACAATGAGGAGGAAAAATCAGTAGGATACTAACTGGGGTGGAGATGAAGAAAGAATCTATCACAAATGCCTGTGCTCACCCTAGCCAGTTTCTCAGGGGTTAGAGCATCAGCCCATGGACCAAAGGGTTGCAGGTTCCATCCACGGCCCCAGTCAGGGTCGTGCGGGAGGCAACCAATCAACATTTCTCTCTCACACCAATGTTTCTCTCTATCTTTCTCTCTCTCTTTCCCTCTCCCTCCCTCCCACTCTATCTGAAAATCAATGAAAAAATATCCTTGTGTGAGGATTAACAAAAAAAAAATACTAATGCTCCACACAAAAGCCTGCACACAGATGTTTATAGTGGCTGTATTTGTAATTGCCAACACTGGAAAAATCCCAGATGTCCTTCAGTAGGTGAACAGATAAACTGTGGTACATCCAGATAGTGGAATGTTATTCTGTGCTTAAAAAAAAGGGGGAGAGGGGGCAAGGAGGAAATTTAAATGCATGTTAGTAAGTGAAAGAAGTCACTCTGAAAAGGCTACATTCTGTATGATTCCAATTATATGACATTCTGGAAAAGGCAAAGCTATGAAGACAGTGAAAAGATCAGTGGCTGCCAGGGGTTGAGGGGAGGGCGAGATAAATATGCAGAGCACAGAAGATTTTTATGGCAGTGAAACTAATCTGTATGATACTATCTATAATGCTGGATACAAGTCATTATACAGAATGCACAACACCAAGAGTGAGCCCTAATGCAAGCTATGGACTCTGGGTAATAATGATGTGTCAATTCAGGTTCATCAACTGTAACAAATACACCACTCTCACATGGGATGCTGATAATGAAGGAAGCTGTGCAGCTGAGTTATGCACCTTGCAATGTAAGATCACAAGCTACAACATACGAGTATGGGGGGAAACAAGCTACGTGTCCATTTGTTTTGACATTTGTGAACACTAAGAAGCAGGTGGGACAGTTAAAAAATAGAAGTCACAGGAAAAAACACATTACAGAGAAGGTTTCATTTTTTTTCTCCAATTTTCAGTTCACAGTAGGTATAATTTGAGAATTTTTGGTCTAGTCCAACACTCTCATTTTACAGAAGAATCATAAAGACCTTGATTTGAGACAATTCTCATCTCTGAGTCTCAAGTTCTTCATCTTCCAGCCCTGAAATCCTAGGACTTCCATTTGTTTCTTCACTGCCACTTAAGACAAATAGCTGGTTTTAAAAAGATGTATCAATCATTTCCTCCTACAGGCTCCCTACTGGGGATCAAGCCTGAAACCTGGGCATGTGCCTGGACCGGGAATCAAACCGGCAACCTTTCGGTGCACAGGACAACACCCAACCAACTGAGCCACACCAGCCAGGGCAGCTGGTTTCTTTTTCTTTTTCTTTTTTTTAATTAAATTTATTTATTACTTTTTGTTATAGATGCCCCTCCTTTTTCCCCATTGTACACCCTCCTCCCCACTCCTGTCTCCCACACACCTTCACCAATGGTTTCTTTAAAGAAAAAAAATAACATGGGAAGGTAGGGTGGTATATTAAAATAAGGTATAGTTCTATAATTTTAAAAAGTATGTTCTCTATATCTTCAATCAGTTTGTAAAGGAATCCAAAAAGCAAACCCACAGATCTTATTTTAACCTTCCTTCTTCTAATCTCACATCTGTATATTTTATGAGGTACAGAAACCCCCTGCGATTTGCAAGGGATATATCCTCAAAGCTCTAATTTCCCCCAACAAAATGTGATTAAGTGTAATACACGTACTTGTGATGTAACAAGTGAACACAACAGGTGAAAGCAGCAGGGGCAGGTTGAGATGAAGGTTCTAGGCGCTGGCTCAGCCTGCAGCCAAAGGGCTTGTTTACATACACCAGCTTCAAGGCAGACTTCAAAATTTGTGTTGTAGCAAAATCATAAGTTATATCATGGGCCTTGAGGGTCTCTTGCAAATTGCTGAGACTGTGAGTTAAATCCATAATACTTTCATTTCGATATAAATTTGGACAAGTTACTTACCTCTCCAAGTCTCTGTTCACCCATCTGAAAAATGGCGATGGTAACAGTACCTACCTTATTGGGTTGCTGGGTGGATTAGATGAGCAATACATAACAACAGCTTAGAACAGTGTCTGACACACAGTGAGTGCTCAATAAATGTCAGTTAAGATTTCATTTTAGCCTCGTGACTCACGGGTATTTTAACTCTTATGGTTTCCAGATGAGGCATCTGTCATGTAGTAGAAAGAAGGATGAACTTGGAACCTAAGGATCTTGGTTCAGGATATGGTTCATATTGACCGAGCTTTGTGAACAACCTGACTTTTAGGGACTTAGTTTAATCTATAAATTTTGGGGACAATAACACTATTTCTGTCTACCTACATCACCGCTATAAGCATCCAAAGCAATCACATATGTAAAAAGATTCTGTTAAGTATAAAACACAATACAAATCAACAGTACCGTAAATACAGTACTGGGCGGCAGTTTAGAGTAGTGGTTATGAATGCTAGCGTTAGTGTCAGATGGCCTGAGTTCAAATCCTGGCTCTGCCAACTGTGTGCCCAAGAGCCAATTACCCATCTTTTCTTTGCCTCCATTTCCTCATTGGTAAAACTAGGGTAATAGTACCTATCTCATTAAACTGCTGGCAGGATTACATACGTTAATACATGGAAAGCACTTAGAACAATGCCTGGTACACAAGCGTGCTCAATAAACAATAACAATTATTATTTTAGTGCTGATTAACCTAGTCACAGCCCACTGCCTTGCCTGACCCACTTTTGGGGAACAGACCATTTGCCTCACCCGCTGTCCTGCGGCCCGGGCCTCTCGGTGCCAGTCCTCCACCAGGGCCACCGCCTCCTCACCGCTCTCAGGGTGGCGCGCCTGCACCCAGGCCTGGACCTCCCTGGGCAAGATAGTCAGGAACTGCTCCAGCACCAGCAGCTCCAGGATCTGCTCTTTGACACGGACCTCTGGCCTCAGCCAGCGACAGCAGAGCGCCCAGAGCTGGCTGAAGGCCTCGTGGGGTCCAGACGCATCCCTGTACTGGAACTGCCTGAAGCGCTGGCGGGAGGCCTCGGGGCCAGGGACAGGGTCATGGTCTTTCTCCTGAGGTCTGGATTCTGATCTCCACGCGTCCTCCTCCAGTTTCACAATCAGGAGTTCTTCCAGCTCTGGTGGGGGAGAGGCCTGGGCCCGGGATTCCAGGGCTACAGCCATGCTCTGTCCTAGACACCTCACTGCAGCTGGGCTGTCCTCATCCAACGTCTTTCTACATCTACAATGTGTCCTTCAAGGGGCTCCCGGGAGAGGAAACGCTTTCCAAGGCTCTAAAGGCAGAAAGACAAAGGACAGTGAGCAAGAGGACCCAGGAGCCTCACCTTCCTCACTTCCCCATACACACCACTGCCACTGTATGGGGTGGGGGTGACAAGTGGAGCCCCTGTCCCTTAAGCAGAAAATCAGACCGCAATCTGGCACCGATACCAGCAGCCAGCACACCGGAGGAAGACGCACAGCGTTAACTCCTCGGGGACACGCTAAATGCCTTAGCCTGGCATCGAGGCCTCCGTGACCTGGCCCAGCACAGCCTTTGCCCTCTACACATCCCAAAGTCTGGCCGTCCCTCCAGCTGGGATTCAGACATCACCCCTGCAGGCCTTCCCTCCTGGGCCTGACGGCACTCCCCTGCCAAGCCCCCTTTCACTCTATGCTCCTTGTCATTTACTTGTCTGGCACTTTCACCATCTCTACGACTCCCCAGATGCCACCAGGCCCTGTCTCCAGACCTCCAGACCCCACGATCCAACCACCTTTCAGACAATTTACACTGGACTGTCTCTTAGACACCTCAGTGGGTCAAAAACTGAATTCACCATTTTCTCCTGCAAGCCTGTCTCTTCGGGATCTCTCCATCCGATACAGGCACCACCTTCCACCGGCTCACGCACGCCAGAAGCCGTCACCGTTCCCTAAGACCCCCCACACCCAATTCATCACCAAACCGTGTCCACTTGGCCTTCTAACCAAATACCTCCCCTAGGCCTCCACCTCAGTCCAGAGAATCATCACTTCTATCACATGATCAGCATCTTGGCTCATGTCCCTGCCTCCACTCCCCTCACCCTGACCCCTGGCCTATTCTTTGCACAACCACCAGACTAGATCAAGATCTGACCATGTCACTTCCCTGCTAAACACCCTTCAGTGACCTCCCATTTCCCTCAGGACCAAGTACAAACCTTGCCCAAACCTCCTTTCTTTACCGTGCCCCCCCCAGTCATGGTGTTTCAGCTGCACCACCTGCAGCTCCTGTGTCCTGCTGCCTTCTGAACCCTCCCACACACTGGGGTCTCCTCTGAGAACAGTCTCTTCCCTTTCTTCACCGAGTTAGGCCTCCGCTTTGCCCAGATTCAGTCCTCGGGCACAAGCTTCCATGCCACCTTGTCCTCTGCATCGTTACCAGATCACACTTTATAATTATCCACCCACTAGATCACAGGCTTCCTCGGGGACCTGGCACAGAGCTCAGCACACACAGGAAGCACTCAATAAACACTGAGATAATGGCCCACTAATGATGGGGATGTATCATGAAGCAAGGATTATAATTAAGCCCTTTCTATGCAAACTAGACAAAAAGAGAATGACCTTACTCATGCCAGAAGGAATTCTCTTGTCTTTATTTCCATCACTATAACACTTGCCACTTTCTGGGCTGTATCAGAGGGGTGTGTGTGTACATATGTGTGTCCCCAGAGATTACAGCCTCGCTGGGGGCGAGGAATATACCTTACTTTTCTTTTCACACCCTTCCTTCCCTCACACCCACAGGCAGCAGGATGCCCTACACACGAAGGCTCTCAGTAAATGCCTGTTGAGTGAACGCCTGGGGCTGCTGCTTTTACACAATGAAAACTCTGACCACACTCACGCTGGGTTATCTGGGAAAATGAGCTGAGTTCTTTGTGTCATTCCCAACAAATCTAGATGACATAAAAAATGCCTACTCAAAGGAGGCTATCAGCTGCTTCCACGGGGGCATGACACGGCTGAATTGAGAATGGACGGAGGGAGGTATTCTGACTTGAGGCCATCTGACTGGACTGTCTAAAAATAAGGCAAGGAGCCCTGGCCGGTTTGGCTCAGCGGTTAGAGCGTCGGCCTGCGGTACAGAGAGACCCGGGTTCGGTTCCCGCTAAGGGCATGTACCTCTGTTGCAGTTTGTCTCCGGCCCTGGTTGGTCGTGCGGGTGGCAGCCACTCGATGTGTCCCTTCACGTCGATGTTTCTCTCTCTCTCTCTTCCTCTCTCTCCCTCCCGCTCTATCTGAACAAAGAATGGAAAAGTGTCCTCGGGTGAGGATAAAAAATAAATAAATAAATAAATAAATAAATAAATAAATAAAAATAAGGCAAGGATGATGAAAAACAAAGGCTTGTCCTAAACACCGCCACATAGGGAGAGACTAGGAACACAACTCATGACAACCTGGCAACTTCCTGCTAGTCCTTCAGCTATCACCTCAACGTCACCTCATCTGTTAAGACTTCCTCAACATGCTCTTATCGTGCCCCGCCCCCATCCCTGCTCTCCAATAATCAGTTCCCCAGTCATGTGTTCCCTAAGCAATTGGCACGAACATACCTCTAAAACACACGTTACCCTGTATCATTGTAGTTACTTGTTCTTACATCTGACCGCCCCTCATCCAATTGCATTACTAGGGCCAGTACCATATCTTACTCATTTCTGTGTCCAGTGCCCAACCCAGTGTCTGATAAACAGCATTGCCACAAGGTTTGTTGCCTTTTATTGGAACTTCAAAGCTGGTACATTAAAAACCTAATGGGCTGTGGAAGATCCATAATTTATATTAAAGAATTAACCTTTCATGAAAAAATTTTTTAACCACAGCCTTAACCATACACTAGTCCAAACACATTTGTGTCCCTCTCTCACACGAGACCTAATTCACCAATCCTCCACACAATCCCACGATGTACGCTGCACTGTACTAGGAGCTAGAGAGCCGACAGTCACTAGGATAGTCTCTACCTTCGTCAAAGTTACAGTCTAACAAGCCAAGTGTGTGCTCCTGCACAGAGAGAACACTACAACACAGGCAGTTAGCAGTCCCACCAGGCCCAAAGCCCAGAGTCTCAAATAACAGGTATTTTCTTCTGCGAAGACTTGAAAGTCCCAAAGGTCATTTTCAAATCAAACCTGCAGGTTTTTCTGCTACTCTCTTACATACGAACAGCAGCCTATCCACGGAGGGAGGTCAACAGTCGGCCAACAGCAGGGTGACTTCACACAGAAAAGGCAGGAAAAAAATGGACAAGGGCATTCCTCCATCCTGAGACTACCAGGAATCTCTAGGTCCTCACTAGAATCAACAACCTCAGCGTCCCTACTGACTGAGTGTCCGCGGTGCTAGGCCGGTGCTAAGTGCGGGACATTCATAACCTCAGTGAATCCTCCAGGCAGGCAAGTGAAGAACCATTAGTGCTGAGCTGCCTTCCACTGATCTGTAACTTACACAGATTAGGCTACATACAAACACCAGGGAAAGAAAGGACATGATTTAAATACTGCACCCGTTCCATCCACGATGTCTCTATTCCAGAGTGAGCATGTGGTGATGACACCCATGACCCTGCTGGTCCCTGGGTTGCTCTGAGTTCCCTTCAGCCTCTCTTCCCACTGAGCATGAGCAGAGTGTCTTTCTACAGCATGTTCCCTAAACACAAGCAACTCTTTCACCTAGTGTTCAACAACAAAACCAACTAATCTGGTTAGCTTCTTGAAAAGACAGCATGTTGGTTTCTAAATGGTTCCTTGCCAAAGGATTTTCACGCTAACTGTGATTTCTGGCTAAATGTGATCACCGCCTTACATTCTGCCTTTAGAATATCTTTATCCTGTGAGGTATGAATCCACTATATCTCCAATTTTCACAGGGAGGGAACTGAGCTTCTATAAAAAGGACTTGCGGTTACCCAACTAGCAAGTGGTAGTGCTGGAATCTAAGCCCAGATTCATTTTCTCCAGTCATTTTTTTTCAAACCACACTACACAGCCTGCTCTAGGTCTCCCAGTCATCCAAAGTCCTGAGAAGATGGTATAGAGAGCGGAAAGAACACTGAGGCAGAAGTGAGCAAATCTGGGTTCTATTTCCACTCCTGCCGCTTATCAGCTGTGTGACTTTAGACAGGTCACGTGGCTTCTGCAGCCTCTCTAGACTGCAGCTTACAGTCTGCCCTACTCTAGGTTGCCCCAGGTTCCCCGATTAGTATGCCGAGAACAGGGCAAAGGGACAGCGAGACTGAGTAAATAGCGGAATGGGACTGTGGCTACTACAGAGCACCAAAGAGACCACTGGCCCAGTGTCCACAGGCCTTCTCGTTTTTCTAAGAGAAGCTGGAACTCTAGATTTTTAAATGTTGGCAACCCACTCAAAATTATTTCAAACACCCTGAGGGTTCAATAGAGTGTGATGGTAGGCTTCCTTCAGTATGGGCTGTCATTTTGCCACCTTTCTGCTGAGTGATCTGGAAGGTCTCTTCCAATCTCCTGGAAGACCTAGAAAGGGTACAGATCCCCCTACGTAATGAGGGATAGGTGTTGGCTGCTGTCAAAATCAGGATCCCTTTACACATACAGGGAAGCTGAAGGCATCCTGGCTTCTGGGACAGCAAGTATGGATATGGGCATGAAGAACCCACCCAGTAAACAGTGGGATGGGAAGAGACCTGCCCCAGTCTCATGGGAAAGGCCAAAACTGGTCTGTTACCTCCAAAAAGAAAAAAAAGGGGGGGGGGGGTAAGTTCTCAAGGCTTTCTAGCTCATTTGGCTGATGGTCCAAGCTATTGCTTAAGCAGCCTGACCTCACACTTAAGGCATAAACCAGGGAAATTTCAAGCACCAACTTCATTCAACTGTGCCAAGGACTCTGAGTCCCATGGGAATATGTGCTGCGACCAATGAGCTCCGTCTGCCAGACATAGGAAGGAGAAGTGGCAGCACACACTCCTTGTATTTGCCACCACTGGCTTAAACTCCCATAGGCACTGAAGCAACTTCCAGCAAACACAGCCTGAATAGGCAGAAGACTAAAACTCATGCCCCTGGAAATCCACCGGAAGTAGCCTTTCGAGCCTGGTACAGCAAAGCTCACCCTGGATGGCTTTAGTCACACATTCATCAAGTATTTATTGGGCAATGGAGAAACAGAGGTGATTCAGAAGTTGTTCCTGTCCTGGAGATGCTTACAGTCTAGTGGAAGAGACCCAAAAAAGTCACAGATAATAAGAACCCAATGTGGGAAATGCAGCAAAAGAGTTCTGTGGGAGCTGGGGGTGGAGGGCAACCTTTTCTGCTTAAGGCAATTGAAGGACGTAACATTTGAGTTGGTTCCTGAGGAAAGTTCTGTTGGCAGAGAATGGGAGGGGAGCGAGTGTATTCTAAACAGAGAGATCAGCACATCTAATGGTGGGAAATCAAACGGCCTCCCCAAGAAATGAGGAAAACCTTGGCAGCCCTGGAGTGTGGGGTACATGAAGAGTAGGCTACAAGGTCATTTATGAAGGGTCTTGAATATCAGGCTGAGGTGTTTGGACTTAATTCTATCAGTGATGAGTGCCCATGAAGGTTTTTGAAGCAGAAGGCATGAACCAGATGTGTGGGTTAAACAGATCACACTAGCTACATTGTGTTTGTCCAGGCTGGGAGGTGAAAAGATGGAGGCTTCCGCAAAAACCCTGAAAAGGAAAGGGCAGGTTCAAGACACATTAAGGAAACTGAAAGATCTGAAGATTCCCTGGACGTGGAAGAATGCAAGAGAAACCAGAGGGCACCCGGGTACACTGGACGAGGGTGCCATTCACTTCATCAGGCATAAGGAAAGAGGTGCAGCTTTGGGGCTGCACACAATAGCCAGTCCCACCCACTGGGATCCAGAAGTCACAGCCATGGGAGAAAGTGTAAGGGGGTATCAATTCCGATGTCTGTTCTAGAGGGGCAGGTCGAGGCTGATACACTATGTTTAAGGTTGGGCTTCAAGCTCAGGCCCTCTTATCTGCTTTCCAGAGCCCCAGAACCCTCACTCCTTCCCTGTGTGGTCTCCTGACCCTTCTACGACTCTCCCATCTCCAGAACCTCCCTGTGTCCTCACCTACAGACCTAAAACCGTCCTCACTCCCAGGGCCCTCTAGCTCCCTCCTCATCCCCAACCCCTCTATGATCCTTCCCATCTCCGGACGCTTCATCCCCTGACCGCCCCTCACCCCCACCCACATAAAAGCTTCTTTCTCCCCTCTCACCTTCCCCGGCCCCCTGAGACACCATCACCTCCTAAGTCTCCAGCCCAGAGCCTGAGTCTCAGCTGCCCACGCCCCGCCACCCGGACTCACCCACCGAGACACCCACTTCACCACGGGGCGGAAGTGCTCCTGGGTTCGCGCAGGGAATGCTGGGATGCGGAGTCCGACCGGCGCCACCCCACGAATGCAGCGGCTGAGACTACAACTCCCAGAAGAGACCGCGCGAAAGCTGGTGAGCGGCCTCCTCCGCTTACTTGCCTTTAAGATGTCGTCAGCCAATAGATGTGTCGCCTTCTCCCGGTCCCCGGCACCGGAACCAATCGGAACAGGTTCTAAGCGTGAGGGCGGGACCTGTTGCGATCCTGGTTCTTTCCACTGGCTCTGGGAAATGGCACCGCCTAGTGGGCGGGCACTCAAGCTGAAGGGGCGGTGCCTGTTGGAGGGACGAGAGAGATCAAAGCAGAAACAATAAGAAATAAGAAGGGGGACTAGAGATGACCAGAGTGGTGGGCAGGAAAGAGTTGGACAGTTGTGGTTCAGTTTACAGCTCACAGTTATAATGCGTGACTTTGGATGAATTGTGAACATCGCTTTCTTCACCCATAAAGCGAGAATAATAATAGCATCTGAGTCTATAGGTTTTTGTGAGGTTTCGATGGATAATACACATGACGATTAACTCAGGGCCTGGGGCCTAAAAATATACAGCGAATGTTACTTTCGTGGGTGTTGGAAAGTGTTCATCATTATTAGAATAATAATAATAATGATGATCGAAACAATTTTAATATAAAGGCAGTTGCTTTGTACTTTGGGGTATGAGCAATCTAATATGGGGTTGAGATTGTGGATTTGTATTCAGACATGGATCCTGATTCTAGCCTACTTCCCAGTTGAGTGGCCTTACACAAATTACTACATCTCTTTTTTCTGGGTTTTCTCATCTTTAAAAAGCAACTAATATAGTAGACCCTATATTGCAGGTGTTATGAAGATTAAATGAGATAATTCAGGTAAAGCATGGACTCTGGAGTCAAGTTGCTTGTGTCAAACTTATTTTCAAATGTAAGATGTAGGCCTTGCCACTCACTGCTTGTGAAACATTGGACAAATTGTTTCACCTATGTATGCTTCAGTTTCATCTATAAAATAGGAATTAAAGCAATGGCATCTACCTGTTAGGGTTTGTGAGAAATAAATGGAGAAAAGTATATAAAGAGCTTGCACATGGCTAGCAGGAGGAGTTTAATAATTATTAGCTATTATTATTTTTACTAATGGTTACAAGAATTTGGGGAACCTGACAGTACCTGGCATATGGCCGAATGCTCAATACATGTTAAAATTTGGGGAATTCTATGTCTTAGTTTTAAAGACCTAGTTCAAAGTCCTTCTCCTCTGTGAAACATGTTCCAGTTTATTTATAGTAATAGCTCATGTGGTTTTACTCAGTGAAAGGAGTAGCAACCTGTAAGCACTTCTTGTTATTGAAGTCTGACAGCCCTAAGAGGTGGGTATTATTACCCCCAATTTACAAGGAGAAAATGGGGGCTTAGACAGATGAAGTGACCTGCTCAAGATCACATAGCCAATAAGTGCCAGACCTGGGATTTGAACCAGGGAATGTGACCCCAAAAGTTCCTTCTCAGCCCCACACTGCATAAGGAAAAGATCACCAATGGAGGGGAGGGGTAGAGTGAGTGGAGAGAGAGACCGTTCTGCAGTGTGAGGTGCTGGAAGGGCTAAAGACATTTGAGAGAGTGTCAAGATCTGAAGCTGGAAAGGCAACTTTGCAGGGTCAGGCAAGGACATTTATTTCAGGATCATATGCCCTAAAGAGAAAGAAGGAAAGGAGGTGAGAATGCACAGAGAGAAAGACATCATTGGGGCACTAGAGGGCGCCCCTCACCCTAAGCCCAGCCTGGAATTGTTCTAAGGTTTCTTTTAGCCTTTGTCTATTTAAAGCCTGGCATTGTACAGAAGAGGAAAATTAAAGCCCCAAGAGGCTAGGGTCCCTGGCCCAGTGTCATATAGAAATAAACATCAGAGCCTGAACCAGACCCCAGTTCTCTGCTTCAGCATCCATCAAGATTTTTTACTGTCCATAGTTGTCTACCAAGACTCTCTCTGTGCTGGGCCAGCACTAAGCTCTAAGGATGCAGAGATTAATCAAGCCTGGTCTCCGTCCCGTGTCTGATATCCAAACTTTCCTCATCAAGTTTTTTTATTAGTAAATTAGTAATGTTTCCTACTAGTAAGACATTTTTGAGCATACACTCCCAGTATGTGTATTTATTAACTTATAAATGATTTGCACATAGTACATATATAATTGCATGAAAAGCTAACTTTTATTGAACATTTACAATGTATTATTAGGTCCTGCTCTCAGTGCTATGTACATATTAACTCATTTAATCCTCACAAAACCCTTTGAGGGAGGGTATAATGATAACCCATATTACAGAAGAGAAAACTGAGGTGCAGAGGTTAACCAGCATAAGAAAGCCATGTGGCTAAAAAGTAGGCAGGCTAGCTTCAGAATAAAGTGAGATGTGAAAAAATACAAAAAGAAGTTTTAAATTTTTCTGCCTGAACCCCAGTGGTTCATCTTGTGTACCGCCCTTTGGTGACCACTGCTCTGGGGGCTCCTAGACCTGGGAGGGCTGGTACACTGTGATCGGTGCTTTGAGAAAGGGAAGTGCCGGAAGTTGTGGGAACCCAGAGGCTGGGAGGTCAGGGATGGCTTCTGGAGAAAGTGATGGCTGAACTGAATCTTAAAGGATACATAGTAGTTCCCCAGAAGAAATAAGCTGGGAGGAAGGAATAGCACATGCAAAGGCCCAGAGAGAGCAGTGCATGGTGTCCTGGGAACTGTGTGTAGCTTAGCATGGCTGAAGCACAGAGTGCCAAGGAGGTGGGTTCCCCTCCCAGTGTTGCTGTAAGGTTCAAACGAGATGCTATAAGCATGCCTTTGTGTTTTCATTGAGGAAATAGACAATCAGTCTGCTGCCTGCTGGGCAACATCCCAGCTTTTTGGTCCTCAGCTGCCAATTCCTCAATAACCCAGAAGGCAAAGGGGGCTGCTCTGCCCCTTGAAGATCTAGCTGGACTTGGCCTGGACCCCATTCCATAGCTTAGGAGGGCTCAGAGCCTTCCTTTCTTTCCCATAGTCTCCCTGAATGTCCCCACTTTATTTCCTCCAGGCTAGTTTCCATGACCCCAACCCCTTCACCCTCTTTCTTATGTGGGTTTCTATCAAAAAACAAAAAGTCCAATTAAGCCGATCATTTCATGTATTTAGTAAATTTACCGAGGATCCAGACATCTTGATATCACATCACATGCCTCATGGCCATCTGTCATCCCTTAAATTTTCTTGTTCAGCCTCCAGAGTCTTCCCAAAGCCAACAGTTGATCCTCCCTACATGCACAGCCCCCACCCCAGAAGCTCAGTCCAGTCTCCCTGACACATGCCCGCTATCTCCCTGTCAGGCTGGCCCTCCTTCCCTATCCCCCCTTCCAACGTGCGTGCACTCACTCTAGCCCAACCCAGCCTGCCCCAGCCTGCTCCGCAGCCACACCCAGAAGTGGTCCTTTCTTTCATCTTCCTTGGGCCACACACAATCGTCTCCTCTACGGAGCAGCCAGGCCAGTCTATGGTAGCGAGGGAGCCGGTGACGAGAGACAGGCTCCAGGAAGACCAGCAGCAGCACTGGAGGGCAGGGGACAGTCAGCAGAAAGGAGGTGGCCAGGTGGAGCTCCAGGCCGCAGTGTGGGGTACGCAGAGCCCGGCAACTCAGCACGCAGAGCGTGACCCGGCCGCTTGCCATGTTCTCTGCCACATTCTCAGCCACATCCTTGCCTGGCTCAAAATCCCGCTCAGGGAGGCAGAGGCGCAGCCCCCGCCCTTCCAAGGTAGGCAGCAGCTCCTGCACCACCCAGGCCTGGTCTTGCCTACAGTGGGACACAAAGACGGCATAGAGGAACCTCTTGCCCTCACCCTCCCGACCCCTCAGATCCTGGAGCCAAGCCCTGAACAAGGCCTGGAGACAGAGGGTCCAGGAGTTCCTGGCCTCTTTGAGGAGGGGCAAAGAGATCAGCAGAAACAGCAGGGCGGAACTGCCCAAACAGAATTCCAAACCCAAAGTGTTGGGGCAGTGGCTCCAGAGAAAGGGGAAGTGGGGATTCTTGGAGTGGCCCCCAGCTTCTGGCTGGCACAGCTGGCGTGGTACGATATGCACGTATGTTCTGGGGGACCGCTCAAGCCAAGGCTCCACCCAGGCATTGGCACACTGGCAGGCCAAGGACGAACTCAGAACATACATGTACTGTGACATCTGGGGACTGTGCTCCTGGAGGCTGCCATCCAGCACGAGGCCTGTCTCCCAGTCTAGCACTAAGACCTGGAGACTTCCCAGGCCCTGGAAAGCAACAGCAGACAGTGCCTCCAACCCGGTTTTGACCAGCTGCAGCACCTGGAGCCTGGGCAGCTCACCCACCAGCTCCTCGAGCTGCACTGGGCGGGGCTGCGCTCGGGACTGCAGTCTCTGCAGCTTCAGCTCCAGCAGGCTGGGCAGTCCAGTGATGCAGCAGGGCCTGGAGCTGTGCCCATTCCCCTCTACCCTCAGATACTGGAACCTGGGGAGCCAGAGGAAGAAGCTGGAGGTGTCCTGGGAGCAGAGGGCCTCCGAGCTATTGCCAAGCAAGATGAGTTGGAGAAGGGCAGGGAAGATCTTGGAGACATTCTGGGTCTCCGGCTGCATTCCCAGCCATTTAGAGTCAGGGTCTGCAGGACTGGAAAGACAGGAGAAGCCAGCTTCCAAAGCCTCCTGCCTGGCACTGCATGAAGCTCCAAGCTGGTCAGCCTCGTGGGCAGACAGTGCTGCCCGGGAAGAGCCAGAGGGGAACTGTAGTCTCAGGTTGCGCAAACTCTCTGGGCCCCAGAAGTCCCAGGCAGAGCTCAGCACAATTTGGGTATTCAGCAGGTTCAGGGTGGTCAGTGCAGGCAAAGGAGCCAACCAGCCCTCGCCCAGGGCCACCAGTGGATTTTTACCCAAGTCCAACATCTCCAGCCTCCTTAAGCCCTGGAATACCTGGCCCTCCAGCCAAACCAGCTGGTTTCCCTGAAGTAGCAGCTCCCGCAGGTGAGGCAAACAGGAGAAGGTGGCTGGTGGCAGGCTGTGCAGCGCATTGTAGGACAGATGTAGGACCTGCAGTCCTGACACAGCCCCTGTCACATTTGTGCACAGTGCGGCATTCTGCAGTTGGTTGTTAGCCAGGTTCAGTCTCTGAAGTCTGGGCAGGGCAGCCAGAAAGCCTGGTGGCAGGTTGGTCAGGCCACTTTGCTTAAGACCCAAGCTCTTCCGGCTTTGTCAGGAAGCCAGGGCCTCCAGAGCTATGTGCCCTATCCGCGTCCATCCCAAATTCAGTTCTTGCAGCTCAAAGTGCGCAACTGTCCCAGAAGGCAGCTCGGCCTTGTCAGTATGCATCATAGACAGGGCATCCAGCCTCTGCAGCCCCAGTCCCATTATGGCAGCTGCCTTCATCTTCGTGTGCTCCAGATTCAGAGTCCCCAGCATGAGGCCCTGGAGGGCCCCAGAACTGGCCATCTTCAGCTGCTTGTTGAACGACAGGTTCAGCATGTCCAGAATCCAAGCATCACCAGAGAAGGGACCAAGCACCAGGTCTGGGAAGATGTCAGCCAGCTTCCCCACATTCTGAAAGGCAACTAAAATTTTTTTTTTTTAATCCTCACCCGAGGACATTTTTCCATTTTTTGTTCAGGTAGAGTGGGAGGGAGAGAGAGGAACAGAGAGAGAGAGAGAGAAACATTGATGTGAAAGGAACACATCGAGTGGCTGCCACCCGCACAACCGACCAGGGCCGGGGACAAACTGCAACCGAGGTACGTGCCCTTAGCGGGAACCAAACCCGGGTCTCTCAGGACCGCAGGCCAACGCTCTAACCGCTGAGCCAAACCGGCCAGGGCTGAAGGCAACTAAAATTGATGGTCAGCCTCCATAGACTGGGAGGCAACCGGACACCCGAGTTCCCATCCAGGCAAAAACCCCAGAAAGATAGATCCTGGAGGGAGCTCAGGCTGCCAAAGGCAGCAGCGGGTAGCAAGAGGACACTGACAGGGTGTTGCATGAAAGACAGCTTCTGCAGCTGTCCCAAGTCCTGGAAGGCTCCTGGCAGAAGCTGGGTGAGACACAGGTTCAGCCACAGGACCTTGAGGCCAGGGAAGTTGGAGAAGGCATCCGTGGGCAGAACCGAAGTGGAACCGCTGAGACAGAGCCCCTCCACACTCTGTGGCACAGCCTCCAAGGCCGTTGTCAGGTTGGCCACCCTGGAGCATGTTGCAAGGAGGGCAAGGTTGGAGTCCAAGCGGCAGAGGAAGAAACGGGAGACCAGATGCAGCCTGGAGCCTTCGGTCACTAAGCAGTTGGAAATGATCTAGCTCGTGGTCAGAGGAAGGGACAGGAGCAGACAAGGTAGCAGCAAATATCTGCCCATCTCAGCACCACGACTGGTCTGTAGACAAGCAGAATTAGAACCTCACCCTCTGCTCCCTTGCCTTTTCCAGAGAGGAACCCAAACCCCTTCTTCCCCATTCACACACATGTACACAACAATACTCACAGCACAGACAGGATACACAGTCCCCTGTGTACCCAGGAGGGTCTGGACACAGGGTCTGGGGGCCACAGTGCTTCCAAACTATAGAATTGCTGCGAGGGTGGAACCAGACCAAGATGCTTAGAGTGGAGGCCCCGAGAGTCAGGGAAAGGCACAAGTACTCTCGTGGACAAGAGACCCAGGTTTCACTTCTCTGTTGTGAGGAAGCAAGCGTTTCTGAGCACACGGTTTGGGGCCAAAAGCCCAGGATCCTACTCTGCCATTGTCCTGAGCAGTGTCTTCACCTCTCTGAGCTTCCGCAACCTCGTCTGTAAGCCAAGCGTGCCAATACCTGCTTCATGGGATTGCTGCACATCACATACAAGTGTCAGAATGAGGGTTCTCTCCTTATCGTCCCCTTTACTACTTCTTCTCCTCACTTTAGAAAGGAGGTCTTGAGTAAATCAGGATTTTTAAAAAGCAGATGTTTTAGAAGCAGAACAGTACATCAAAATGATGCCTTAATGGACATCTTGTAATGTTCCACGGGGAATATTCCAAAACGGCCAAGATTTACCCAAGAGGACCAGCAGGCTCTGTTCCTGCCCTTCCAGCACGAGGCTAGGAAGAATGGTCTCCATGGCCCTGGCCTTGACGTGATCACCAGGATGGAGCCAGGACCCCACGGGAGAGCAGAAAGAGAAACAAAAGCGAGCTTTAGCATTATCTCAATGCAGTGAACCATTCAATTCAATATCTGATCGTGATTTTAAAAAAAATTATAAACTCAGAGAGAAGAAAAATGCCTTGACTCGTAAGAGGATATCTACCCCAGATCTACAATAAATAAAATTCTTCATGGCGAGTCACTCATTGCATTCCATTTAAAGCCAAGAACGAGACAACTGCAGTCACTTGCATTCAACATTATAATGGAGGCTTTAGTCGGGAGAATAGGAAAAAGAACAGGAATTAGAATTATAGGGCTATCAGTATTTTAAGAAACAGAAGGGTCCACATTGGTAAGATGCTATGATTTTCTACATAGGAATCCCAAGAATTTCTAGACAAAACTATTAACACTAAAGAATGTTTAACAAAGATGCTGGATACAACATACTCTTTAAAACACTTTCTAATACACCGGTGTGTCGGTCAGAGTCTCGACAGGAAACAGCACATAAGAATTAGGATTTCCCTAAGAGGTTGCAACTAGTTGCAAAGGTGTTAGAAGGACTTAGGGGAACCACAAGGGACAGTGCTGGAACCCAGAGCCAGCAAGTGAAGGAGCTGGCGACACTCCTAGAACTAAAAGAATGAGGACTCAGAAAACTGACCAGAACATGGAAGGATAGAGTGTTTTTGCAGGGCCAGCTGCCTTGAAAGAAGCAATGACATTTGGTCAAGTTGCAAATCCAACCTAAGGGGACCTCACAGGAAGGGAACCAGGGATACAATTCCCTGATCTCCCTCCCCCCTCCCTCTGATCTCCAAGATTTCCCGTGGGTCCTGGAATCCGAGTGGCAGGGGAGAGGGCGTTAATGGGAAAATGCCCTTCAGGTCAGCTCTCCTGAGCAAAAAGCAAGATGGAAAAGGGCAGGCAGTTGTGGAGGGTCATTCGGAAGAAATGCAGCCCAACCATCGACAATTAGAAAATGTGCGTTGAGAAAACATTTAAAATAATAAGGCACAAGGATGTATAGATCAGAGGAACAAGATGGGGTCCACAAACAGGCCTAATCATGTGTAGTTACCTGATTTATAAGAAGGTATCGTTCCGTTTATCATCACAAAGGATAACTTCAGATGCATCATAAGCCGAAGTGTGAAAAACAAACAATAAATCTTTTAGAAGAAAACATAGGAAAATATATTCATAGTCTTGGGATAAGCAAAGTTTTCCTAAATAGACCATACAAAATTAGCCATTTTTTCCCCATATATTTGACTTCACCAAAGCTCAGGGATTCTGTTCATTAAAAGATAGACAAAGAAAGTAAAATAACCCACACACCTGGACAAGTTCTCTGTAATACATGTGTCAAAAAAAACACTAGTAATTATGGAATGTAATAAACATAATTATTTGGAATAACCCACGGGCCAAAGAAGGAACCATAATGAAAATTTTAAAATGTTTTAATTAAACAATACCAAAATACTACATATCAAAACTTGCAGGATAAAGCCAAAGTAGTATTTGTGGGAGACGTACAGCCTTAAATGTCTGTTAGGAAATGAACAACGAAATCTGACTATCGGTGGGTCGGGCAACAACTTCAAAAAGTTAGAAAAGGAACAGTTCAAAAGTAAAACCTCATGCCCAGCCGGTGTGGCTCAGTGGTTGAGCGTTGACCCATGCATCAGAGGTCGCCGGTTCGATTCCTGGTCAGGGCACATGCCCAGGTTGTGGGCCCGATCCCCAGTGGGGGGCATGCAGGAGGCAGCCAATCCATGCTCTCTCTCATCAATGTTTCTGTCTCTCTCTTCCTTCCTCTCTAAAATCAATGAAATATATTTTTTAAATACAATAAAAATAAATAAATACAACCTCGCACTTCCTCCATTATGGAATAGCTGGTAGCAGATGAGCTCTTCTACCATGAACAACTACATATGTATCAAACTGGACCAAATATACAAAGCAACTGTTTTCAGATATTAGGCAAACTGGCGAGATAGGATGGTGATCGCTGCCGAGAAGGGAACCAAGCGAGGCAAACCCTGCAGCTGCCCTGTCTTTCTACCTGCAGACATTTGCTGAACCACAGCACAGATAGGAAGAGGGAGCCCACGTATCGCCCCGGCAATTGTTGTGAGCTGAGAAAACAGAAGGTCAAGACGGCTATACTTTGAGAGACAGATTACACAGGGTACACAGTAGAGAACCCAGTCAAGTGACACCTTAGTCACAGGGAGAAAGTAGCCTAAAACATAGGCTTAAAAGCAAGTCTCGAAATTATCAAGGCAACCCACAAATAACTACCTGCCCCAGTGTATTCAGTACAATCTGAAAGTATGTCCCTACCTCCTCCTTGTTGTAGCCCCGTCAGGGGCGATTTCCATGTGTATTCTTTAGATTTTTGCCAATTTAAATGAGCAAAACTGTACCCTTATTGGCCTCTCCTCTTGGGTCTGCCTTTGTAATTGCCTGCTGGGTGTACTGGAATCGTGTGATAGTTTTGTATCTCTGGACTCCGGGCAAGATGTTTTTCCATTTGTGCCTGTTTCTCAGATCCATGCCTCTCCTTCCCCTTCCTCTGCTCCATGTCACAGGTAAGCCGGTGCCTGCAGGTTATATTTCTGCCTTCTGTGTGAGATTGAAGCCGGAGAGAGAAAAGCCAGACTATGTTTTCCCCTCCTCTCTGCTCTGGCTCTAAGCCAAAGGTCTCTAAGCCCTGTCCGCTGTACAGTAGTAACAGTGAGAGTTTATGCTTTGGCAGCTGTATCAACTGGTTCACAAGTCAGGATGAAAAGGAGCCCCCTCAACCCTCTAACATGTATTAGTGTTCTGCAGCTAAGTGTGACTTAGCCTCGGCCCTTGGAGGGCCGTGGGTCTCGAGGGAGAGGGATACATAACAGGCCATGATGGCACAGTATGACTCCGGAGTTCGTGGCTGACTGGGTCATTGCCTGGGATGTAACCCAGAGCATCTAGGTAAAGATACAAACTGTAGACTTGACCCTTGTGGTGATTGCCTATCTGGCTTTTACTTATTTAAGAGAGAGAAGAGTGGAATCTGCAGTCTGGCAGAAAGGAAGAAAATACTAGAACGGGGCTGCCTCGCTTCCCTTTCCCATAATTCCTTCCGCTAGTGGGGGGTTGCATGGAAAACCCTGGGATTCTTGCCCCGTCTGTCTCCTTTCCCCAGTCGCTCAGGGACCTCGGAGACTCGCAGACTGCCTGAGCTAGAAAGGCCCTCTGGGTTTGTCTGATCCAACACTTGCCCTTTCAGATGGGGAAACTGAGACCCAGAGAGAAGAAAGGGATTTTCCAGGGCCAGGCAGAGGGTGGATGGCAAAGCTGGGGTCAGGACTCACGGTCATGGTCAGGCCAGTGGGGGTGGAGCGTTGGTGGCGACAAGTAGCCTCCGCTGTCAACTATAGGAAGTGCACAGAAGCTCTTAGAGCCCAGAGGACCCCTCCTGTCACCTCCTAGCCCACTGCACCCCACACACATTCATTCAGAAGACAGAGGTCTCACCATCCCCTCCCCGTGAGGAGTTTGTGGAAGGAGGCTGAAGTCAGAACAAGTCTTAGCCGTGGTCTGGTCAGGGGTGCCAAGAACTGCCCTGGAAAGAAAAATGACTGAGAAACCAGCTTTGCGAGCGAAGATGGCAGCGGGCAGGACCGGAGGGAGGGCGAGTGTGTGAGAGAGTGAGCGAGTGTGTGAGAGTGTGAGTGGACGTGAAGGTGGACGACCAAACCCAAGCAGTGCTGAGCTGCGGAGCAGAAGGTCCTGTGCTGTGGACGGAGCAGCCGGCTACCGTGGTGAGCGGCCCTTCAGGGGCTTCTCCCTGTGCCACAGGGAGGTCCCACCGTTTTGGAAGGTCCCGGGTCTTCCCTGGGAGGAGGCAGTGGGAGCAGCTAGGGCCCAGCAACCTGAGCCCACCAGCACACCTGGCACCATCTGACCAGTGGACACTCTGTGTCAACACAGGCCCGTGCACAGTAGGGGAGCTGCCAAGGTGCCGGTTGGGGAAGCCGCAGACAGCCCGGAGCCCAGCACCATCCCCTATAGTAGCAGTCCAATCAGAGTCCAGATATAACCCCAGCAACAGAGGCTGGGGAGCAGACATCCATCCCCAGGCAACAGAAGCACGGACCAGCAGCTGAGACCTATCCCCGAAATCTACAGCAAAAGCTGGATTTGAGCCCCACGGGGCGGCAGCACTCCC